TGTCCTTGACAATATACATCCAGATCAAGATTATCAGAGTTATGCTCCCTAATGTAATAATTTACTAACATTTATATAAGTATATATCTCAAAAACTATACGAGACCGCCAATTAAGTTATAAGAAAAAGTTGATCAGTATCCTCACTTCTATAACATATCGAGGTCAAGGTCATCGGAGCTGTGTCCCCTAATGTAAATATTTATAATTTATTTCTTTATAATAAAATGAAAATTTGATGAAATTTAATATAATATAATATAATCTAATTAATATAATCTAATATAATAATCGGTGTGAATGAATTTAAACAAACATATTAACTTAAACATTTCAAATTCAAACTATATAGCAATTCGTATACTAACATTATATTACACAATCAATTATATTTTAATTAATTCAATAAAATTTTGATAAAAATTGAGCTTTATTTGTCAAGTAACATATGTATTAAGAAGTAAATATAATAATATTGCCGAAAAATACTATAAAATGCAATCCAAATTTTTAAGTTATCTCTTACATTTACTATATATGCTTTATTATAGAAATTTTTTCTCTTCTTTTTTATTCTTTTATAATCTATGTGTAAAGTTAATAAAAATAAGTTTATTTGTTTTCCAATAATCTTAACACATAATTTTAAAGATATAATTAATTTATATTTATCAAATATTTGTACAAAAATACAAATTATTCGTCTTTTTATTCAAATAAAAACATAAAACAAATACATAAATAAAAACATAAAACATAAAAACAAATAGAAGTAAGCAGCAAAAAAAATGTACAAAATTTTATTTTGTATGTTACATAATTAGAAATTATTATAATTTTTCTTTATGTTTATGTGAAAGAAGAGTGAATATTTTACGTAAATCGGATTGAAGTTAAAAACTTTTCAGCTATTAGAAAAGATGTAATTATTACATATAATTATACTAGAGATAAAAAATAAATACATATTTTTGAATTCAAAATAAAAAACTAAATAAAAAAATCAGTTTTTTACGATAAAAAAATTGTTTTTTTTACCAAAATATTAGGTGTACAAAAAAGTTCTGAGCTTTAGATTTCATACAACCGAAATAACAATTTAAATTTTATATATCTTCCGCCCTTTTGCAGTTTTAAAGCGTTGATATTTGGCCTTCTAAAATGCCATACGGTTTGGCGTTTGATGCACATAACCTCAAAAATCAATAGTGTTCATGATGGCAATAACAAAAGAGCATATTCGATTTTCCATCCACTTCGCGTTTCATCTGAAGAAAAATGCTGCTGAAGCCACTGCAATGATTTGTGCTGCATATGGAGAGAACGCTGTAAGTCATACTACTACATGTAAGTCGTACTACATGTAAAAGATGGTATCAAAAATTTCGCCAAGGAGATTTCAGTCTTGAAGATGAACCGCGTGCTGGACGCCCTCAAAAGATTGAAACGGACGAATTGCAAGCACTGCTGGATATAAACTCTGCGCAAACTGAAAAGGAACTTGCAGAACAGCTTGGCGTTACGCAGCAAACCATTTCCGTACGTTTACATACGATGGGAAAGGTTCAGAAGAAAGGCATGTGTTCCGCATGAATTGTCCGAAGAAATGTGTTTCGAAACATTTCGGAATAAGTCATAACAAACATCATAGAAAATTTTAACTAAAATTTATTTCATATTTCCTATATTAATTCGTCGTTTATTTATTCGTCGTTACTATATTCCTAATTTTACTGAAAATTTCAGATAATTTGATAGTTTAATGTGCACCCTCACAAATTTCATAGTCGCATCTGCAGCTTCACTTCGTTTTCAACATAGCGCAATTTGTGGTAACTCTGAGACACATACCAGATGTTACAAACATCGTGCATTAATGCATTATATTTTAACATTGCTTTTCATGCTGTCTTGCACGTCAGATAACATATATGACAAAAATTGTTACGCAAGAGACATATGGTATTCTAGCAAACGTGTGCTGCAAACGTTAATTAATAAGTCGTTACATAAAACATATAAACATAGAAATTGTTGAAGCGCTTCTCATTGTTTGTTCTTTGACTTAAAAGGGAGAGATCGAATATATTAATTTAAGAAAGTGACGATA